AAAATATATCTATATAACACTAGTATATAACTAGTTCCTCTGTCCCTACCCCTAGCTTTTAGGAACTTCTCAGTTCATGATTCCCTTTCCTCCCCGACCTCTTTCTTCTCTCACAGTTACCATCACAGCCCTGTTCAGAACAAACTTTCGCATGGATTTCCCCTTTGACCTGCAAGAGCTGCCAGCATTTGCTGTAATAGGGTAAGTTCCCCTCAAATGAGCTGACCCAACAAGTACGGCCTTTTCACTTGACAAAAATGGGACAAAAGATTTAACCAGGAAGTTTCTCTTGTACAAGGTCAGAAGGGTTATCCTTTCCAAGTGATTGGCACAGTCGACATGGTGACAAGGGTAATTGAACCATAATCGGATCCAGTGAGAAAAACAGTTAATTTATTGAGTGTCAGGTTTATTTTATTTATGGAGATATCTGAGTTGGTTTCATTTGTGGAGGAAATCTTGGGAAAAGAAAGAATGAACTTAAGGAAAATGAGAAGAGAAATGGGAGATACTGGAGAAAAACTGAGGTTGGAATTGCTGGGAGGAAAAGTCTGGAGTCAGAGCTTCAGAGAGGCTCCAAGGAAATCACTGCAGAGTAGTGGTAAAGGGAATGTGCTGTAGGAACAAATACCTAGGCTGGCATTGTGAACATATTCTGTTGCAAAACCTGGATCTAAGACCAGAAATACAGTAGAGGTTTTCCAGCTCCTTTTAGTAGGCTGCTCTCATGTTCATTTACTTGAATAGGAATGCAAGTGGGATTTTTGAAGACATCATCAAATACGTTGAAAATCTATGAATATGCAGGAGCTTCTTCTAGTAATACATATTCACTTTGTTCTCCTTAAATAGACCTGCGCGCTGAATTAGGGAGAATCTGTTTGTTTAGATTGGCAAGGACAAAAGCAGTCCTTCTGATTTACAGCTGATAGAAGGCAAAACATGTCATTCCGTTTTGGAATTGGCAGAGCTCATTTTTTGCAGTACTGCACATAAGCTAGGAAAGGAATACATGGCAACTGTGAAATGCTTTCAAATACCAGGGTGTCCAATGTGGTAGTTTAAAAAAACAAAAGCTAAAGTCTTGGAGAATCCTGGATGAAGTCGTGATGCCAACTTGTAATGCTCCAAATGATCTTAATATTACATCTCAAAGTGGACCTCTCTTTCTATCCAACATACTTCTTCACTTCCAGGTAGGATAAAAACAACTGAGCCAGCCCAAGAACTATGTCCATGCTCTTCCATGTCAGCAAATGTTCCTAATTTGCAAGATATATGCAGGAGGAGCAGTTCTATTTTATTGACGAATTGATAGGCAGGAATGGAGGGATCTATTTTTTTAATATAAAGTGTTGTAATGATATTCAGTTCACTGTCATGGGTGAACACTGCCTTTAAATCTATAAATATTGCCTAAGGGACTGGTCTGTTTTAACCGTAGTGCTACACAGTGCTGGCTTAAAATATTTAAGAGAAGCTCATTGGACATGTTTTTCTGTGAACAGCTTTATATTCAGTTTAAACTTGTTTCTATGCAATTTTCAAGTGATGAAGCAGGATTTTTTTCAACATAGAGCTTTTTAAGAAAGCTAAATTTATCTTTGAGTGAGATTTGGCAAAGGCCTACATAACATATAACAAAGGAAAATCCAACTAATTTTAAAAATTCATACAACGAAACGGTTAGGTGTTTATCCTCAGTGTTCTGTGGGTTAATTATTTGCCGTCTAAAATATAATTCCCCTTACCAATTTTAAATGAACTCTTGTTTGAAGTTGTTTTGGGTTTTTTCTAATGTCACCTTTGAATATTAGGCCTTATTTATCCAAGTACCATTAAGCTAGAGAGCACAAGCATCAAGGCCAGTCCTTAGACAACTATACTTTTTTGGCTTTATTAGGATCAGGAACACAGACTTAAGTGATTAGGTTCGTAGAGATGACAGACTTTGCTTTAAGCAAAAGAGTTGCTATTAAATAGTTGATGAAAGTATATAATTTTGCTGAATCAGAGTTAAACTCCTTTCATTTTTACTATTTCTTGTTCCAACCTGATGTCTTAAGTTCTGACAATACTGGTCTTTGCCCGGGTAATCTTCTCCAGCCCCTGCTAAGGTCTGACAGTCCTTTTTTACAGATTATTTTGTTATGTTTTATAGATGATATTTCCCCCTCTAAGCAAGAGAAAATTTAAGTGGTGAAATATTTGTGTGGTGAAGAGGTCCAAAGTAATCTCTGCCCTTTCATCAGGGAGTCAATGTCTCCAAGTGAGTTCCTGTAGGAGTAGTCCTCGAGGTGACATTTAAAAGACTTCATATACAGCTGAAGATGAAAAACACTTAAACTCCGTTTCTTCATTGATGGTTTGTGTCTTATCTGTTTGATAACATTTTATCTCATTTTCTCCGCTTTAGGATATGTTCTGGATTCCTTGGAGCATTTTTTGTTTATCTCAATCGCCAAGTGGTCCTGTGCATCCGGCGTCATACGGCTCTGAGCCAGTTTCTCACCAAATAGTGAGTGCTTCTGAAGACCTTCTCTTTAGGGGCCAGATTGTTATACCCTACTGATATTGGGTGGTAACAAATGCTTCCTGAAAGCTAGTAGAACTATTTCAAGTGTAAGATAGTAAATATATGAGAAATTGAAATTACATAAGAATAAAACATCTGCAAACATCAAGAGAATGCGTTCTGGGCTGGATTTTCTTCTTGACCAGCCCCAGTAGTTTCAAATAGCTTCTTGATTTGGAAAGGAGACTCAGCAGTATTCATTGAGAGGACACAGGAAACTACTGATTGGCCAGGAAGTATTCTTAATTAGAAAATCAATGATCATGCTCCTTAAGATCATGCTGCTTCTGATGATATTTTTTTTTTTTTTAGAATCCATTAAAATTATTTCAAGATCATTTATATTTAAGAAAATTAAATGCAACTGAAAACTATGTATTTAAACTCTACATTTTAAAAATCAAAACATAACCCAAAAGTAAAGGATGTGCTGCAGTATTACAAATACTGCATGCTTACCAACCAAAAGCTTAAAATGATAGTAACCAAATGGTACGAATTGTGGCAATGAAGAGAAATGCAAACAAAATAAAAAATCTTAGCAAGAAAGGTTTTACAGTGGACTTGAAGGTACTTTTTTCCCCTCTCTAATAATGTTATAACCTCAAAGTTAAAGAAGAAAAGTTGGGCTAACTGTAAATGCCTTCAGCCTCTTTACAGAAGAAATCTGATGCTATAAGAACTTTTTAAGTTGGGAGGCGTAGAGGACCTACTTTCTTGGAAAGTTTCAGACCTGAGCAGGAGAAAAACACCAGATAAAAAGAAGTTCAAACTAACCTGATTTATTATGTGGGAGAAAACTTGTCTTTCTTCATTATGTAGCACCAGCACCAGCAGAGACATTGAAGTTAATAGAGAAGTGGAGCAAAGCCTGAAAAGCAGGAATTTACTTAAACTTTTGACTAATTTCTCAGAGTTTTGTAGATTCTTAGACTGAAAGAAATTAAAGGTTATGTTTTGTCTTCCTGCAAACCACAGCATCTCAGCCAGAACTTGTGT